TTCTTCATTTCGTTGAATTATGTGTGCTGTAGTTAACAGAATTACGGGACCTTAACAACGGACATGCAATTTATATTTGTCTTTCAGCATTCGTATATACGATGGACTGTTGGTTGATTTACGATATACCAATCGTCAGTACACACTATACACATACATATATATATCCTATAGAGTATTTAAGGGAACGTCAGCGGATAAGTTATTTTTCAAATAGACTTGTGTTCAAGATGAAATGGACGGTGTTGGTTATCATCGGTATAAATACGCGTATAGTCGAGATGCGTGATGCGTATATATAGCGAGGGAACATATAATATGAGATATTTGATAGCCGCCTATTATTCGTCCACCTAGATGGTCGTAATTTCTTAATAGCTGAAACAACTGCGAGAAATCTCGATCATGAACTGGTTAGAAAAGAAAATGTTACATAAAAGCGTTCTGTTATATGCGTACGAAGGGGGGAAAAATAATGCGCCTATTGCAGTGTCTAATAGATAATCATTAGCGATCAGTAATATAACTATAGTGCACTTGCTGGGCTGTAAATTAAATAATATAATAATAATATAAAAGCTCTATCTACCTAATACGATTGATGATAAGAAAATAAATTGTTGCAATTTCAACAATGTGAATATTAAAGATGGTTTCAAATAAATCAAATTTAAGAAATAGGTACATAATATTAATACATGTACAACATATATAAATAGAAATTTTTGATTTTAGATTGATAAAATAATTTGTTCGTCTTTCATGCTTTACAGCTATCATGAAACTCAGCGTCACGTCGTTTAGAGCTCATTCATCTGCTCAGAAAAAAATATTGAAATACCAAAATCAGCTCAACTACGTCACAACACATTTGCCCGTGGTACCTAATATAAATGCGACGTCTTCAACGGTAGGTTTTTTTCTTTTTTAGACTTTGCAAGTGCAACGAGGAAAGTAATGGTTTACTCTGATGCGATTTTTTTTTTATTTATAAACAATTTGTTTGTCATAAATCTTGCTCTAATTTACAAGTATAGCATTTTTTCTAAAATCAAATTTTATCTAGTTGGTGTACTGAGAAAGTTGATTATATTTGTAGTTTTCTTAGTAAATAGGAAAATGAGGTAAACATTTTAGCTATCACGGTTTCATTATTTTCGATTTTGTTTTTTTGTTATGATTCGGTTAAAATAATCAAAGAGATCTGATCTTCATAGAATAATTAAATTAGTCTTTTAAAGAAGTGACATAATTTTTAAAACGCACTGGCCATTTTAGAGCCATTTAAAGACATGATATTTCCTGAATGAAAATTCAGCGTGCCGATAATTTTTAAAATTATATTGTACATAATGGTCCTAAAAAAAAATTTAGAGCGTCTGAATATTTTTGTTTGAAATATAAAAGTATGTAACACACATATATATATATATATATTTTTGCACATGTTACCAGGTACTTAGTATACACCTTTTTTTTTGTTTCAAATTTATATAAAAAAAATTGGCTCAAAATATTCGAATAGGAAATCGAAAGTTATAATAACTCGATAGAAAAAGAAAATAACAACACTTTACAGTAAAAGACTTAAAATATTTTAAGGTATATTTTTTTTTACGAAATTCATTTGAAAAGAAAATGGCATAAAAAGTCATGGTCAGTAGTCACCGTCAACGGGTGGTAATTACACCACCAGTATAGCTGCTAGCGATGCAATAATTATTGGACTTTGTGTTAAACCATCATTAGTTTACCTGGTGAGTCGAATAATAGTTTTACACAACCATTGCAATAATAAAATAACATAGACGGCAATTATAATGTGGTTCAAGGGTAAAATACGAACTCGCGTGGATATTTTTACGATGAAATTTAGTTTATCGGTCTAATATTATTTAAAGATTTGAATTTCAAATCGGATCTCAACACAGAGTCATTAATCTATTATAAGAAACTCAATATGCAGGAAAGTATTAACTTTTATTGGAATTTGTAATATAGAAAATTTAAGAAACAAGCAACTTTAAAATTTTAACTTTATGTAATTTTTTGTGATCCTTATTTTTGTGAATAAAATTACTACCTACTTTTGATTTTTGACCTTTATGGACTTTTTAATAATTCCATAAATAGATGAAGTATTAGTTGAAATTAATGTTGGTGTTGGAAAATTTGATTTCCGTCAAAAATGCCGTGTGCCGTGCTGCCATACAAATGATGCTACAGTAATCTCCCTTGATCCAAACTTAATAGTAGTTTTACTTCTAAAAACAAGAGTGATAAAAATATTGGTGATATAAAATTGTAGAGCTAGAGCTACTTGGTTCTTAAATTTTCTTTAAAACAGATTTCGAAAAAAGGTAATACTTTCCGAGATAATGAGTGTCTTACGATATATTTTAAATACCTTGTATAAAAGTGATTTCAGATATATTGAATAATAATATCTATTTAAATAAGATAACGAGTATAATTTTAACGGTATTCTATTTTAGTGGTTAAAGTTAAAATTCTCATTCCTAAGCTACACCGTACATTGTATATTGTACGGTTACCCTAGCTTTAACCTAAATGTAGAGCTAAATTGGGTTTATATTATATTTTAAATTAGTAAATAAGCACCTGTAGATTAACTATACTCTTTTAAATTTAGTATTCTAAGTCAATTATAAAGGTTGAACAAATAATGAATTACTTTTTTGTATTCGGTTATATTTTTTAGGTTCTGAGTGGAACGAGAAATGTATTAATATTACTATGATGTGTGTGATTTTATTTTGGTCTAGAACTTTTCTACTAGAAATCTTTATTCAATCAAAAAACGCAAAGAAAGTTTTTTTTTTGTAGAATTGTTACAAAAAAAATTGCTACACTTGAATTTCGATGCAAGTGTAGCATTTTTTATGAAAGAAATACCTGTCTAGTTGGTGAGTAAAACCAGGATAAAAGTAAAAAAAAACGAGAAAGTTTAAGATATTAACGTTTTGTTACTTTGGATCATTTTTTTGTTGTAATTTAATTTGTAAAAAACAGTGGTACACCCATCAACGGTATCAGCTCTTTTTTAGATTCTGAGTGAAGCGAGGAATGTATTGGTTTACAATGAAGTTTATTTTTTTTTATCTGTGAGCAACTTTTCAACCAGCAGTTTTACTCCGATTTTAAATTATAGCAATTTTTTTGAAAAAAAATTTAACTGGGGTGGTACTTGGATTGGTCATACTTCGTTATTTTGTGATTTTCTCGAGTTTTTTCAATAAATGAGAAAAACCGGGAAAAAACGTAGGAAAAACGAAAAAAATATTTAATAAATATTATGAAATAAAATACATAATGCATATGCAATTATGGCATATAATGTGCATATGACACATTTTATATTTTTGATAAAGCAACACTATTAATTCCACTCAGAATCGTTTTTTGTTAGCGATAATTAATAGTTGCGTACAGATTTACATTGAATTTTCCTTCTATATTTTCATAATTTCTTATCTACAAAAGTGGATCCTATATCGTGTGAAGAATGTCCGTACCTTTTTATTTATTGGTATTATTGTCAATATTTTATTGTTATTAAAATCAATTTATGTTAAAAATGTATTATGGATAATATGTATAGCAGAATAAAAGTTGTAAATAATGATAGTAATAAAAACAGTAGAAGGAAATTGATCGAGGACAGAAAGTTCTAAACAGAATATTTTTAGTTTATAGCTGAAAATGCGAGGTAGCTAAGGAACTTGAGGTAACGTTTGGTGTTATATAATGCACCTATACACAGTTATTTGGCTCGATGAAGATGTGATTAATCGGGTTGAGAAATTAACGTATTTTAGGCTCAGTTCTATGTAAATTATGAGAGAAATTAAAGGAGATAATATAGTGAGTACAGTATAGCTATTGTATAGTACAGTATTGTATAGCTGGATAAGTGGGTGAAAGGTAGATGGTTTGATAGCTGTGCTGCGTTTAATAAATAGGTATACTATTAAGAGCGAAAAGAAATTGTATAATAATATACTTTAAAATCTATATTCATACATCTTAACTTTTTGTATACCTATACCTACCTACCCTTTTATATATTTTAGTTTATTGCCATCCCATGGGTGATGGTGGTTAAAAAGGACTAGAGTTATATTTCAAAGATATATTTTACATAGATATGTAAAAAATTAATATCTATAAATTCATTAGTGTAATTCTATTAAATTTCAGAACCTCCAATGGCCCAATAAACATAGATGGTAATATTAATTTTCGGGATCTCCAAAGCCACTCGTTTCTTAAATGATAAAATAACTATAATATACGTACACGTATAAAATTATTATTATAAATTTTTAAAATCATTTTTAGATTTTGAGTGAAGTAATTACAGAGGATGGTGCATTGGTTTTATTATGATGTGTTTTTGTGTCTAAAAAAAAAACATTTCTACCAGAAGTCTTATTCAAATCAAAAAATGTATAAGAACTTTCTTGTAATATTTTGATCTAAGTACTTAGTGCATTGAGGATGTCATTTTTTGATTTTCCTATATGTTTTCTTAATAAATAAGAAAAACTGACTATTAGTTGTATTATTTGTGTATCTTGGTAAAAAGGGAAAAAGTACAATTATAATAATATTCTAGTCAGAATCATTTTTCGTTTGTAATGGTTTATCGCTGCTTACAAATATAAAGTAAATTTATATTTTCATCAGCAGTATTAAGCCGCGTTCACACTATGCCGAATGGTGTCGATCGACACGATCGACCAAATGTGTACGTGTCGCCCGGCATTGTCAAAACATGTCGAGTCGAGTCGAACGCAACCCGAATCAAGTCGGTATGGATCAAAGAGAATCGAATCGACAACAGTAGTGTAGACGTGTCGACGTGTCGACGTGTGTAGTGTTATTAAATTAATTATATGTTAACAAAAACTGATTTTTGAGAAAAACATTTTTATTTTGTTTAGTTTTNTGATGAACAGACAATTTCTTTTATTGAAATGTATCGTGATCGAAGTTTGTTGTGGGACCCAATTAATTCGAAATACAAAAATAAAAACAAAAGGCATGATGGACTTATGGAAATTGCGATTTCTTTTGGCATGGAAAAATTTGATGTAGAAAAAAATATAAAAAATTTGCAAAGCCAGTTTGCTAGAGAAAAGAAAAAAGAGAAGGAGTCGAGAAAAACTGGGAGTGGTGCAGACGAAGCGTATACTAGCAAATGGTTTGGATATGACAGTATGTTGTTCTTGGCTGATAAGAATACTCCAAAAAACACTCATGATACAGAGGTAAATAAAATAATCATAATAATAATAATTAAATAAAATAAAAACGTAGTGTTACTGCAAGGCGTTGGCTCGCGGGAATAGCTTGTCTGAATGAGGTGTCTTTTTTAACGATTTTTGGCGCAATCATACTTAATACATTTTCAAAATCTGAATTATTCATCCGAAAAAAGTTTCTAAAGCCCAAGTCAGATTTGTACTCTAAGTTAAGTTCATCAACCTCATTCAGCAATAAATCCTTCATAAACTCCTCAGTGCTATATTTTTTCCGTTTTACCTAAAACCTCCTTGGGCGGTGACGACGAACCTGTTGGCTTTTCACGACTCCAATTATAATTGCAGCAGCTGCCACTGCAATGTCTTCTGAATCACTCGTTTTATAGGTGATTAAATAGGTGAATCAATAATATTGAATATATTCATAATAATAACAGACACTCGTAAAACACAGTAACACTCGTATACGTGTTGGTACAGTTGTGTCGGTCAACTAGTCCACACATATGGTGGCCAAGCTTAAAATCGACCGTGTCGATCGACACCATTCGGCATAGTGTGGACACGACTTTAGACTTTTACTTCTTGTTCATTTTTATTTAATTTTTTTTTAATAGAATTCAGCTTTAATAGGTGCATAAGTACTACTTTAATTACGCCACTAGCTGTATATAATACTCAAAATTTGATCTTTTAGGGATAATTGTGTATTATAGGTATTATAGTGTATTATATAAATCTAGGTATGAAATACGAACTATTAAATTAAGGATTAAGGATACTACGTATTTTTCGGTTTTGCTCAATCAATAAAAAAGAAAACTACAAAAATTTTTTTAAAAAAACGACTTTCTTGGTCATAAAATAAATTAAAAATTTAACAGAAAAGATCTTTTGTTGTTTTTCTATTGGAGAAATATTTTTAGTAGAAAACATCATGTATACATATTTAAAATATTGAAATTGGTAACGCCACGACGCGCCATAAATATTTACCGTTTTACCTATAATATTTTTTCGGGTTTTTCCGATTATTTTGAAAATCCCTGAAAGAAATAACCTTCTTCAAGTACCGAGTAGATAAATTTACCTTTCAGAAAAGTTTCTACACTATTGATACTCCGGAGCTAGACTTCGGGTAGAAAAGTTACTGACAGACAAAAAAAAAAAAAAACACGCTATAGTAAAACCAATAAATGCCTTTCTACGCTCCGAATCAAAAACAAATAAAACACAACTGAATAATAAAACAACGGTCAATAATAATATACTCTATACTAAGTTTTTATTAAATATTAATTATACATTATATTCAGGGGTCCAGGACAATGGGAGCACTGGGGGTATATGCTCCCACGAAAAGTTTTCTAAAATGTACGCCCCCATTGCTAAAATACACAAATGTCAGTCGTCGGCTACATAATTTTTTGTTAAATATAGAAATAAAATTCGAAACATTTAAACAATTATTGTAAAGAAGACAATGTTTCTGAACAGTCTGAACATTGTATTGTGTAAAAATAACGTGTATGTAATATCAACATGCATTTTGTTTTGTTTAAGATAAATATGATGCATATATGTATATTGTATATTATATATTAGAAAACAATAATTAAGTAAGGATTACATACTATACATTTTGTCTGTTATCAATTATTTGAAAACGTTCGGTAATTTAACCGTAAAAACTACAATTTTATAACAGAAAATTCATTATAGCGAATGTGAAATATGAAATAGATTATAAAAACCATGAAAGTATATATTTAGTAAAATTTAAATATTTAAATTAAATTAATATTAAAAATTAAAAATCATATTTTAGATACTGAGCGAAGCAAATAATGTATGAATTTTACTATGATGTAATTTTTTTTGTGTCTGTGAATAACTTTAAGAAAAAAAAAATACAAATAAATTACTCCAATCATAAACCTTATAGACATTTTCTTGTAAAATTATAGTTCTATTTGGTGTATTTAGGAGGTATTTTTTTTCATTCTTCTTGTAGTTTTTTTTAATGAATATAATAAAATAACAAGTTTTGGTTACTAAAAATGTTAAACATTTTTAGGCAACACCTTAAATATGCGAATTTTTCGGTTTATGGTACTGATTTTTTAATTTTATATTTTTATTGTCGTTGTCAAATTAACTAGTGATCATGTCAATATATAGGTTTTATTATAATATACATCTTTTATCTAAGGAACACATTATATTATGTGAGCAATATGAGCGTAGTTTGGCTTTTGTTAATATTATAATATTACACCTACGGTTAATATGCAGTATGCACATTAGCGAAATCCCTTGGCTATTGTGTATAATATTATATTTTATTTTTGCCTTCAATATATTATATTCAAACCTTATAAGATAACTTTAACCTGCGCTGATATGTGTGAATGATGTTCCTGATGGTATATTCGTTGATAATTTATGCGTTACTACCTATCAGTATCGTATACATGGGATGGGAAGTTTGGCTTAAAGTAACAATAACTATGTGAATTAAATATTTATTTTTTAGTTTAATATTGAACCGCATAATTATTATACTTCAGCGAAGTTACAAGGCCAATCTTAATTTATTGAATACAAATTGGCTTTTAAAGTTTCAATACTTTTAAATTCCCATTGTCGGGTTTGACTTAGAGAAAATGATTTTACAATATTTATTAATGATTATAATTTACTACGTTTTCTCCTATTAAAAACAATCGTTACCTAAATATATAGCCGATGTCATACATTTTTTTTCTTAAATTCATAATGTAAATAATATGTTATAGATAACAAGTTATATAGAATGAATGGTGGTGATGTTATAGTTCTGTTTTTAAATAGCGAGTGAACTATTGGTTTTACAATGCTGTTTATTTCTTTCTTTATTCTAGTCTGTGGACACGTTTTTTCCTAGTAAACTTGCTTTGACTTTTATGTGTAGCAACTTTTCTGAAATTTCAAGTTGTCTAGATTGTACTTTGAACAGGTCATTTTTTGATTTTCGACGCCATTTTTTATACAAAAGCACTTAAGTGGGAATAAACGTAGGAAAACGTACCATTTCACGATTTCATTATTTTATAAAAACACGGACGACGTTTTCTACTAGAAAAAATAATTCATTCGAAAAATCTTAAGACATCTTTTTTGTTGCCTTTTTGATTTATTTTCTTACAGTGTCATAGCTAAAACTTTTGAGTCACTATTGAGCTTTTAAGGAATTTTAATTTTTGGTAGTTTTTTAGCTGTTATTCGGTTATAAATAGAAGTAAAGACTCGAAACTTGGTAATTATACTTATATTGGAATTACCTAGACGTGGGAAATTTCTAAAACCGTCGGTCGATTTTTTTAATTTTAAAAAGCGTAACAAAATCAAAATAATAAATTTTATAGAATTCAATAAAAAAATTTAAAAAAAATTGAACAAAGAAGTCCTCATGACTTGCGTTCTTTCGTTGGTATTTTTATTATGTTTTACCTAGATTGTACAGTGCCGGACGTAAAATTATTGTTTGCAATTTTCTTTTTGCTGTTATATATAAAATTATTATGTTTTCTATTTGTTTATCTATTTGTATTTAAAAATGGACGTCTGTCTGTATAAAATTAATAGACTCGACAATTATTGGAGCGATCATTAAGCGGTTTTTTGTAAAATGTTCCGCGTTGTCCGGAAAAGGTTTATAGTTTTGAAATACACCCTCTATTGAATACCATCCCTTAAAATTCGGTGTTTAGGTATTTTTAGTACAAAAATCGAATTATTTTTGTTGATTTATGGGCTACCTTGGTAACAAGAATAAAAAAACTATCATTAATTATTGTAGTGCAATACCTATGCTGTACGGGTATCTATGGCAATACCTATGCTGTACGGGTATCTATGGTAATAAGTGAAAAACGTGCGTATGACATAGGCATGACAATAATACATAATGATCTAGTAACAACAATGTCTAGCAATAGCAAAGCAATAATAAAGTAATAAAGTAAAAACAAAATTATTAAATGGTTAAAACTCGTAAATAAATGTATAAATAAATAATTCACACGTAGAAATAAATAAATAAATGGTTGCGTCGTCTGGGATAATGAAAAATTTGTATTGTATGGCCGGTTTTGAATTAAAAATTCATCAGGTAAATCATAAAGTCAAAAAAGTAAAACGCAAATAGCAAAGCATTGCCGGGTCAGCTAGTATGATATTTTAATACATGAAATTAAGTATACGTTAGGTATACGTTTTTATTATTAATTTTTATTTTTCGGAAATATTTTCCTAAGACATTTTTATCTAGATCCGTTTAGAACATGCCGGAAGATTTTGAAACACTATAATATTATAAAGAGCCATAATAATTATATCTATGCCTACACAATTTATAACATGAGTGGTATTTAATTATGCTCATGGTTTTTCTGTTTTCATTTCGTCGCTGAATAGTTATTTTTCTGAATCTAGTTTTCATTTTTAAAAATGCATGGGGTTGGCCAGAGCTAATACACAACTCACATATCATTAAAAAACTCATTCAAATTTCCATCTATATACATATTACATAGGTGTTATAATTAACTATAAAATATATAAATATCATTATTTAAAAATTTTAATTGATGGGCCTGTTAAAAAATAATACGATATTTAACACCCGATCATGGAGAAGGTATTAAAATATTTTGTAGACAAATTATTATAAAACGCCACACCTTAAAAACTGTCATAATGATATCCGCTCTTTATATACAAGGGATTGATCGCTTATTTATTTTGCAGCGAGATTGTGACATTGTTATTCATAATTATTATTATAAATCCATTAAAATATATGGGTACCTACTAAGTTATTAAAACAAAATGCTATATAATAATACTAATTATTTAGATTATTTAACTTTGTGTAAAATATATTACGATTATTATATATTGTACAAAAACCTATTCGTATTCATTTTTTTTATGATAATTTAAATTTTATCTCTATTATATGTAATTTTTTTGTATAGTTTATTTTTATCTATGTAACGTTATGTGATTCCAAAAAAAAAAAATTAAATATAGGTAGGTAATAATAAATGTGTGTATGGAGAACAAATTTAAACGCCATGCCTTTTTGAAAGTGAAATTGTTAGAAAGGTTCTGACGTGAAACGTTAAATCTACGTCAAGTTTTGATATAGTCATTAATTTTCACTTTAAGAGGAGGTTTTAAGAGTTCAAAGTTTCGTGTGAAAAAAATATCACATAACAATATCGCAACGTTGTCGATTCTATTTTTAATAAATATTATAAAAAAAATGTCCAATACAAATTTTAAAATATGTAATTAATAATAATTTCAATCCTATTTGTTAACAAAAAAAAAAAAAAAATAAAATTTAAAAATAAAATCTGTTTTAGTTTATTTATCCGTAAGATAATATAATTTATTAACAACAGCATTAATCAAATCTATTCGAATTCTATTAAAAATTCTAACTGTAGTATTTCGATTTAATTCGAAAACTGTTTTATGTTTTGTTCATTTAATAAAATTCGATTGAAATGTATAATACAAATTTGATACCATTTTTGATATCATTATCGAGTATATAATAGACACTTAGGTAACACAAATAAATGATTAATATTCTTAATATTGCATCTTGAATAATCAGGCCCGTCGTAAGATATTTTCCACCCAAAAACAAACACTTTATTATCGTTTATTTTGACGATTATTAATTTCATTTTGTTACTTAATTTGTTTTAAATCGTATGCCTTCCTAAAGTGACGCATGACTTGCTTATACTCAAAAGATGGGTCGGTGTATATTTTAGTTACGATTTTATAATTTTAAATTCGATAAAATTAAACTCTAGGTGATGATCAATTTTTTATTTTTCACTTATGCACTTTGTGTGTGTAACAAATATATAACGTATCTTACACGATTTTCTTGATTAGACGAGACATTTTCCACCGAAAAAAAAATCACCCACCTATTAGATTTATCGTTCCGACCATAGACGATATAATTGAGCAATTCACACCGTTCGACGCCGCCGGCAGGGCGTCCAAAATGAGATAGGGAGGTGTTTTTAACAACCACTGCGGCCTAGCGGCCATCTAACAAAGCTGTTTGCGTTCTATCAGTACCGCGGTGGGCTCGTGTCACTCAACCCCATGTGTCTTTGCAGTTCGGTTGCTAGTAAAGTGCGTTTCGCCATAAATGTAACGTTATAGTCGTGTACCTAGTTTACGACACGAAATCGTTTCGGTATTTTATAAAAGAAATACCGTTTTATAATAATCGCTGTTATTATAATAATATAACGATATAATTATTGTTGTGATGTATTTTAGTGGTAAAATAATGTTTATTTTATTACGATCGCTGCGTTACTGTATTTCGTTTGCAACTAGATGATACAAATAATTCAAAATGGGTGAGAAAATAAACTATAATTAAATATACTTTAGTGAACATTTTTTTTAGAGGATTTGTATATTTTTATCTCGTAGTGTTTTTAATACCTTTAGATATTACAGGAATACCCATATAGGTACCAAATTTAATTAAAATTTGTGTACTAACAATAATATACCCGTTTAAATTTGCATATTTTAAATATTGGCGGTATTTCGTGATGAAAAAAGGCAGTGCTGTATTATTGACCATTATACTCGAGTTTTATAATTTATCATCGTATTATTCGTATTATTTGTTGTTTATTCATTTTCATTTGTTCTCATATTTGGTGCTAAGGTTGCCATTAAAATTCATTGTTTATAATAACAATATTAAATGTTGTATCAGAGGTGATCGAACAGTGGTGAGGGGATATATCTTCAGTGTCCTTTGCTTTTTCAATATTTATAAAAAATAAATGTTATTAAAACATTTTTTTTTAAAATCGGTCTCACTTCTCCCCCCCCCTCCCATCCAGGACAAAAGAATTTAACCACTATTGCGTTTTATTATATGCTTTTATACTCGTACATATTGTATAAGTACAATATTATAGTTTTTATATTTTGTCATATTTGTCTTCGTTACAGAAAAACAGAAAATATACTAATTTATGAAATCTTTATACAGAGGTGCGGAATACATTTTTAGAAAACTATTTACAAACGTCCAAGTACCTTAATATTACAAACGTTTTAAATAACATTAAAATTTGTCTCACTAGATTGAGAAATGCGTATTAATTTTACATGCTGGTTGTTTTATTTTCACAAAATACACATTTTTTACATTTACATACCATATATTCACATATTATACACGAGTATAATACAATTATTTGTATAGCTTTGGTTATGAATTGACTGATTGAAATTTATATTTGAAAATTATATATATTCCACCATTATATCTAATTATAATATTTAAAATCACATCACATCAAAACACATGGTTTACTGTACATTTTTTACAAATTATTCAAGTTTATATTTTGTAATTTTTGTATTTTTGGTTTTTGTTTTTGTATAATTAAATCGAATTGTAATTATTTGAACACGAGAAGTAACTAAGTAATTCCAATTATTTCGATCAAATTGTATTTTTTTTTCACAAAGATTATTTAAAACACTTTTACTTTTGATAATATAATAAACAATTTATATTTCATTGTATCATATTTTGTAGTAATATACAGTTAATATCTTGTAACTATAATTATTTTTACATAGTATATATAAACGTTTTTACAAACAATACATAAATAACGTTACATTATTTTTACTAATATTAATTTTAAGAGCTTTCCGAGTCTGAAAATGATATAGGCACTGCGGTAAAGACGCGGCTTCAGTTTTCATTGTATTGTTTTTGATCCTTTTTTTGTATTATAGTGTAGTGCTCCTTCTGTTAACTGTATAGTTTATTATGGGCATTTTTGAATAGCTTCTTGATCCTTTCTGATAAATATGGGAAGCTAGTGTCATTATGAATTTGTCTACTTAGCATAAACTATAGGAAACTTGTAAACTCATTCTTGAAATTGTATTTTATATAACTTGTGGCTTTTCAATTTTGTTTTGCAATAATGCAGCATAATTATTGATTTGTTTAAGAGTAAAAAATATTTTTGATTGATGTTTTTTTGATTTAGAGCTTCTATTTTCATATAGGCTCGATTTAGAATTATTTCACCATCCATATAGATATATTGTTATCACATATTTTATTTAGACAATTAACATTTGAAACAAAACATTTAAATGTTTAAATGTTACATATACTTAATTTATATTATCAATTTTACGTGAAAAAAAAAATACAGACATACTTCGCACGTGGGTGGACCACTGTTGTTGGTGAGAAATTGGGAAAGTAGAAAGGAAATTTAATGTACCTATATGTGTACGCAACGATTAACCATCGCTAACTAAAAACGATTCTGAGTGAAGTTCGGTTAATAGTGTTGCTTTATCAACAATATATATAAGTCACATAATGATAAAATAATTTAATATGCATTACATATTTTCTTTAATAATGTTTGTTTGATATTAAATCTATTGTCGTATCTATGTGTTATCCCCATTTATTGGGGCAACTTCTGGAAAAATCAAAAAATGACTTCCCTAAAGTACCATCCCGGGAATATTCCATTTCAGAAAAAGTGATATACTTGATACTTCGAAGCAACATTTTTGGCAGAATTTTTGTACACATTATAAAATAAAATATAAACATCTTTATAAAACTAATAGATTCTTTGCTACACTCAGAATATAAAAAGAAAAATAGTTATGCATTTATATTATATAGAACTGGGATATTGATTGCTTAATATTAAACCTACAGTTCCCGTTACATATATTTAATTAATTGTAAAGTAAAAATACCAGCTGATAATGATTGAGGAGAATTCGTGTAATCGAATAATTTACATATTAAATTTGTTTGATTTCAAAAACTTAAGTTACACAGTGTTCAAAACTATATTAAGTGAAATTGCATATCAAGTTAAACTCGTTATTTACAGGATATTAAAAAAAGAAAAAAGACAATTTCATACTTGCGAAATGCAGATACGCTTATTTAGTCCATATAGGATTATTAAAAATAAATTTCAGATTTGTAGTCAACCACATAATAAAATATTTATAATTATTTGTATAATATATAATGTCTGTTTATCGTAATTTTTGTATAAATACATAAGAATAAATTCATTAATTGAGGCCTTCAGTATAATGACGGACTAATCTCGTTCCATTTTTTACTATTCCACCACTTAAAATTATATACTTAAACTTAATAATGCAATAACAATTAAACATGGATGGAGCTACAGGATATACTGGGTATGCTATAGCACATCTACTGTCCACATATTTTTTAAACTGAGGACAACTTATTTTTCATTTATTATATGTATTTAAGTTAATATCTAACTAAATTAAAAAAATATATTTCCATAATTATTACGTGTGATGATGACATTTCGTAAAAATAATGAACTAAAACAAAAAAACCATTTTTTAAGTATTAAAATCTCTGTATTTATTTATCCTAACAATCAAATCGATCTTTGAAATAAATGTTTTGTATTATAGGTAGTTTATAATTAGGATTGTTAGGGACACATCATAACCTAAAATATAGCTCACCTACGCCGTTAAGATGCTGTCATCTAGTGAATATTGTGTAAAGATGGCTTGATCTGTTATTAGATTGAAGGCTTCAATTGTATTTGGATATTAAATTGAAATCATAATAAATTTTGAATTATTTTTGTGTTAGCTGATTCCACATGTAAAATAATTTTAAAAAAAATATTTTTAATTTTAACGGTTTTTTAAAAATGATATAATCAATAATTTTGCATAAGTTTTACACCAAGCGCTGATCTTGGTGGTGGGTATACTAAAGAAATTGCACCATTTTCCAATTTAACAAAAATCTCTGATTTAAATAACTTTTACTTGTAGAATTTGTCGTTTTTTTGTTATTTACATTCATAAAATATGTAGGTAGGTAAAATAAAATTAACATTAAATATGTTTAATAAAATATGTAGGTACAACTATAAATAATAACTTAAAAAATATATAGTACCAAAAAACTAAATAATGACCTTATGTTTTAAACAATTTCAATATTTATGACTAATCATGGGTTAGGTTTATTAAAACATTTTTTTTTAGATTCTGAGTGGAGCGAGTAATGCGTAACTATTATATTATGCATTATTGCAAGTGAATAGTAAATAAAAAAAAGAGCTGATACATGCTGATGGGTGGCCATTGTTGTAGTTTATTGAGGTATTGTATTTTATTTTCTAAAATTGTTTAAAGTTTTTGCAAATGCGAATATTATTGTGATTTATAATTTATTATAATATTTAATCAGTACCTAGTCAGAGCACATCAAATTTCAAGGATTTTCATTTCTATAAGGTAATATAACACAATAATATTATTGTGATTTGAACTTTTTTTTGTAAAAATTATGGTAATATTTTAAGGTTTTTATTTAGTTCTCACCTAAGAAAAAAAAAATTTTACGTTAAAAAATACTAAATCGAAAAAAAGTTATTTTATGTATCATATCATCGTGAGACACCTTGTATATATATATAATATACAATTATATAAATAAATATATATTTATTATTTTGTCAGAATTTATTTATGTCCAGTAGGATAAGGGACTGTATTTTTTTATAATTATGTATTTTATAAGTACCTCATTAAGATTATTGTTTGTTGTGTACAAATAAAAAGTTGTTTTGTTTCAATTATATAATTTATAAATGTCGGTATTTATCTGTTATTTTAAATATAAAAGTTATCTCTAGTGGCAAGCAATACAAAATTTAATTTTAATAAAGTTTTTACTGTCCTTCTCCTCTTTAGAAATCATGACTACGCCACCAGTTACATGTACATCGATTGTGAAAATATTTTCAATAAATTCCATTAAATATTTTTTTTTGAAAATTTGGGAAAATGGTTATCATAAAAGTTATAAGACGAATAATTCTTTAGATATTAGATTTGAAAAGTATATGTAGTGAGTTAATTATTTTTAAAGTGTTGATTCATATAAAATGACAATTTAATATTATTATATTAATATATAATACATTGAAATAAAAACTTGTATATGTTCCAGGGTGATTAGGAAGTAGTATTATGCACGTACATTTTATTGATTTTTAAACTATCTGTATATAATAATTTATTCTTTTATATGCAACTAAAACTTTAAATAATTTCAATTAGATGACCAATTAAATTATAGATTAAGACAGAAAATCAATACATTCAGGAAATTTAATATAAACATTTTAATTTAACGAGAAAAGTATAAAAATATAGAACTATTATATTTATTATACTTATTATTAATTTATAATGGAAAAATAGAAAAAATTGAAAAATATTATTAAATTAGTTCATTAAAACATAAATAACTTTATATAAGACAAATATAAAATTGATATTAATAAAATATACTCTAATTTCTATTGTTTTTGAATATGATAAGGTGATAACGAAACCTTTAAACTTATTTAAGCTTATAATTTTTCTCTCTTGTTTTTGCTATATAACTATAAACGAGGTCATTTATAAATGCTTTATTTTATATAATTGAACGAATTTGTTCATTTAAGTATTACCAATGGTAACAGTAAATAATTTTCGATTTTATTTCTTCTATTGGGTATTCATAGAAAATCAAATGTTAAATATATAATTATAAAGTTTTAATTACATTTTTAAATATGTACATTGATATACTTTATTATAACACTGCAAGTTAATGTATAATTGGATGGAAGTATTGTAATATATTTTTACTGTGGATAGATATTGATATTTTATGGATTTAAAAGTTCGGATTTTTTGGTTATCAATGGGTCTTCTTGTTATTCTGCACTAAATCATGAAAAATATTCTAAATTTTGGGTTTACAATCAGAAAAAAAAAAAAGATCTCAAATAATTTATTTAAACTCTAAAAAAAACTTGCAACATTTATCAATTTTGTTTTTATTGTAAGGTACTGGTAAAGGGAAAAGTTAAAGTTAATTTAATTAAAAATTAAAGTATAAATCATTCGCTAAGATAATACTAGAATATAAAACGTTTTCTGTTTCAAAAATGGCTTCATGTACCCACCTTTAATTTCTTTTAATTTACTTAAATTAAATTTATATTTGACCAACACCAAAATAGTAGAAAAAT